GTGTCTTTGACTCATCTAGCTGACATTGTTGTTGATATGCATCCTAATTCTTGCAAGTCAATGGCTAAAGTCATTTTGTCTGATATCCAACATCCTCTTCTCTTTATTCGCAACTTTCTCCTTATTATGTTCAGATGTGATACAGAATTTCTTCCGTAATATTCACTCCATACATAGAATTCCTTTACGTTCCCCCAGTGGAACATAGGGCTTCAAGCTAGAGGCTTGAAGAATCGGTAGCAGTGATGTTTATTTTAACGGGATGGGGTTGCCAGCCTCATGCCCATCCTTCCCAGTTTACCAGTCTTATCACTGGCTTAGCTAGGTAAAGGGGTGCGTCGACCAGGGATCGAACCCCGAACCACATGAGGCGTGTTCGGCGAGCATTCTACCGCTGCGCCACCGACGCACGACATCCTCTTTATTCGCAACTTTCTCCGTGTATCTCTTTGAGAGGTGACACCAGAAGTAATTTCATAAGAATTTGTGTTCGTACAACGAAATATCAAACATCAACCGTACCATATTTTGCACAGATTTTCGTGTGAAGAGACAAATATCAGAAAAGAGTTTATAAACTTTTTAAATAAGTAATTAAACATCAAATTATAACCAGAATTATCATTATTATTACATATATTACTTATATTATTTACTTATTACTCATTAAATTACTCTAACTCTCAGTTTTCGTGATTTTATTATCTTTACTATTTTATTGTGTTTATATATTTATAGAAGGATCTAAATTGTTGCAATGTGTACAATGTATGCTGAAAATTCCATTCTGTATGAGTATTATTGTTTGGAATAGAGCATATTATAAATTATTATTATTATTACTATTATTAACAATGGCTTACTACTGTCTATCAGCCAGTTAGATAGACAAACATATATCATTAAGGTGGAACCAATCTTTACTGTGTAGTGACCCATTTTTGCAACATTTCATCTATCCATATGTCAAGCAGAAGCCAACCAAAGGCTGGAAAAGATCCCAGAAATTGTTTCACCTTTTTCCCAGTTATATCTTCGTATCGCTTATTCTAATATCCTCAGTCTCATGTGTGTGTGTGTGTTTGTGTGTGTGTTTTATTTACAGTTTGACAGTTATACACTCAAATTATGCAACTATGTCGCCATTCAGCGATCATCGTATATATATATATATATATATACATTGAATTTCACAATTTCTGCATTTCTCAAACTACCTCGACCTCACCTACTCAATCTATTTTACTATTTACTTGCTTATTTTAGACTTTTCAGCAGTAAATCATTTGGTATTCAAGCTCAAATAGTTGTGATTGGTTGTTTGGAGTGTTCTTTGTTTGTTCTTGTATTTTTTTTTGATAGTTTTATATTGATTAACCGTTAAAAAATAGAAGAAAAAAGAACGATACTGCTGCTTTTGAAATAACTGTCTAGGACGTGTGTACAGTAATTTTTTCTTAAAAAAAGAAATCGATTTTAGTTCGCTTCGTTCACATCAGTCTTTTGTTTTTCCTATTCATCGTTTATTTCACCTTCAGAGTAATATGAATTAGCTGGATTGCTTTCCGTGTTTATGTATACGAAAAGTATTAGTCATGTCGCATATATTGGCTGAATACTGACTAAAATCAATAATAAATTACAAGAATAAGTTAGAATTCAAAGGCTGGTCATTGGATTAGGTCCCAGTGGCTGAATGGTCTACGAGCTCGCCGTATAAATGGTAGATCCTGGACTCGAATGCCGGTTGGCGCATACTGCCGAGGAGACCCAAACTAGGACGAAACAGCTGTCTATTACTCCTCGGTGGTTTTTCAGTGGTTTTCTAACCGACGTCAGCTCGTGGTAAGATCTGTGACCAATGAAAACCCTGAAAGCTAACACTTGAAAATGATGTAAATTAACTAGACCTGTGAACATGTGCCAAAAGTAGTAGTGGTGAGTAGGGTTGTAAAGGCAAAAAGTGGCTGACATTTTCATGTATTTCATCAAGTCTCCGCTTTATCTCTCTTGAGTTTGTTTTATGTCGACTATATTTTTTTTAATTACTAATTATCTATTCAGAACACTTAGGATGAGATAGTCTATATGTAAACTGGATGAGTGTGTGCTAGAATTGTTATGAAATGGGTTAGTTATCCCCAATGAGGGCGGGATACACAATGTGGTCACATATATTGCGTATTAAACAGCCATTGCATATGTTGGGTCCATGAGTGATACTCTGTATAAATTATCATTGTTCGTATCTTTGCATGAATAATTATCGATTCACTTTTTGAGTAATGACTCAGTGAATTCCTTAAAAAGAAAAGAAATTTGAAAATTCCATAGGATTTGAACTAACTGCACCTATTCATTTACCACTCTTATGTTCTGTTATTTGGCACAGAGAAGAAAAAACTTTCATATTGCTCCTTTTTGGCTAAACCGACCATTTATTTATTGATTTATTTATCTTAATTTTATTCCTTTGCGTTCCCAGTGGAATACAGGACCTCAAGCTCAAGCTTTGAAGTTCCAGTATCAGTGGTGTTTCTTTTATTGATGCTGTGGGATTCCTAGCCTCATGTTCAGCTTCTTCTCTTTACCAGCCGTACTACCGGCGGAGCAATATTACGGAGTGCGTTGTCAGCCGGAAATTGAACCCTGGACGATGTGAGTGGTTCGTGAGTATTCTACCTCTAAACCACCGGTGCACTGACGCTTTGGGTTTTTTTTATGAAACATCGCGCTTCAGCTCCATATCGACGTTTCATTTTGTTCTCTGTAGTTCTTTCTAGCTGACTCCATAATTGTACAAAGGCTTTCATTTCCCCTTCAACTCACGCAATCTCTTCCATTGTCATCTCTAAACCTGATCTGATCAAGTTAATCTCTCGGTCACATCTGTTACGCATTAATGATATGAACTTGCATCATTATAGTTCTGCAGATTTGAAGAATAATCACTATAAGAAAGTAACTAGTTGATAAGTGTAACAGAGTAGCAGTATGCGAATATTTGTTTGGTCATTCCAATTATTATTGTTCCCTTGGGTTCCTAATGGAACATAGGGCTTCAACTACACGTCTCCACTTGCTTCTGTCTTCTGCTGTACTTTTCGCCTGCATCCATGTTAATCCATACTGTTTCAACTCCTCTTCACACGATCTCCTCCATGTCATCCTTGGACGTCCCACTCGCCGCTTCCCTTTCGGGTTCCACTCGAGCACTGGCCTGACGCGCGATGTCACCCAGCGGCCTCCTCAGTGAATGTCCAATCCATTTCCACTTTCTCCTGCATATTTGTTGAGCGATTGGTTCTTGTTTTGTTTGTTCCCATAGTTTCTTGTTGGTGATTCTTTCCGGCCATCTGATCTTGAGTATAGAGCGAAGACAGTTGTTGATAAAGGTCTGCAACCTGTTGCAAATATTCTGATCCGTATAGAAGAAGTGACTTGACGTTTGTATTGAAAATCCGAATTTTGTTGTTGATGGTGAGTGACGAAGATTTCCAGATTGGTTTCAGGTTGATGAATGTGTTTCTCGCCTTCCCGATTCTCGATTTGACATCCTCGTCCGTTCCTCCTGTAGTTGGGACAACGCTCCCTAGATAAGTGAAAGAAGTAACCTCTTTCAAATCCCTCCCGTTGATGGTGATTGGCACTGTATGTTGCTGCTGCTGTTGTTGTTGTTGGTTGGTTATTTTCATAACCTTCGTCTTGTCTATGTTCACCTGAACATAATACATATAATGTTCACGTACAAAGTGCTTATACAATGATAACGGGAAGAAATAGAACTCACTGCTAACTATAAATGTTATCGTCTAGCTTGTATATTAGGTAAACTGCACCAAATACATATGGATTGAAATAAAACTCATCTATTTTTTTCATCTTTATTTAAAGTTACTAGCAGTTATGGTTGTGCAGGATAATCTCAGTAGTCAGTAATTTAATCTTATAATTTTCTCAATTGTTGGTTTTTGTGTGGGATTTAATTGGTATTAGGTTAGATTTCATCATGAAAAAAAAACATCAGTTAGGCAACCACTGAAACATTAGGTTTGATTCCCTATAGAGTCATTGGTGCGTACTACTGGAAGGTCGTAGAGTGAGACGAAACAGCTACTCCATAATTCTCAGTGCTTCCATAACTCACGTGAGTGTTCGTGATGAAGTCTAACCTGTTCTTACATTATAATCCTCCTAATATATAACCAAAACTTGTCATCGCACGCCGGAATCTCGAGTGGAAACTGAGCGGGAAACGATGAGTTAGGTGTCCAAGGGTGACATAGAGAAGATCGTGTAAGGAGAAGAGGAAAGCTTATGGGCGCAATCATGGTTCTATCTGAAGAAAACTACAGATACTACATGATAAAGTGGAGATGTGCTGTTAAAACCCTGTGTTCTACTCAGAACCCAAGGGATTCAGAATAAAACCTGTCATCAGTCCATGAAGTCTTTGACAGTTATTTTGAGCGAATTAGGGATGTTTAGGATTCCCGTTTGCGGTCGTCGGAATGTTAACAAAACTAATATCCCCGTCTTCAACACCGGGGAGATGCATTCACTCTTTGCAATTCCCTATATCCACTAAACTGTCGTATTTTTCCTTCATATTTCTGTTTATTGTAGTTCTTTAAGTCTCATTTGTCTACCTTTCTATGCTACGTGGGTTAGAGTGGCAACTTGAACTGTAATTCAATTCTATGCCAAAGCGTTTTTGTTGAAACTCACTCATGTAACATAAGGCTTACTGAATTTAATGTTTAACACTGTAGACAAATGAATCTGTTTGTTGTATTCATTTTTTTATTCACACTGATACTTTTGTGATATAAGGATGCTTGATTTTATAATTCTATGTGGTGGCTTCTCTAGGCTTAGTTTCATATAAGCACAAAAACACATGAAAACAGTCAAGGGCGTGGGTATATATGATCACTTGATGCTCTTTGTATTCTATTATTATACTTTTGTCTTTTTTTTTTCCTTACCATTCACTTTAGTCCTCCATACCATGATAATTACATCAATCATACGGATCATTATCATTGTAATTGTACAGAAAATGTTAACTCGTCAGGACCAGTAACACCAACAACAACATCAACTACTACTACTCCTATGAATAATCCGTCTACAGTTAAGATGGAATCTTTTCAAGGTAGAAATGAACAGTCAATGTCACCGATGTTATCCTGTGTCAGTCCATTTGTGAATAGTGAAACTCATGTCATCAGTAACTCGGTTGGTATTCAGTTGAAGAATAACAGTAATAACAGTAATTCACAGCCAAGTGGTAAGTTAACTTGAGAATTAATGCAAAATGAATTTTGTAATAATGACTACTTTTCATTTAAACTGCATAATACATATATCAAAAGATTGTGGGTGTGCGAGGTGGCACAGCAGTTAGAATGCTCGCCAACCATGCACATGGTCCGGGGTTCGATCCCCGGTCGACTCACACCTGATATCAATGGTTGGCCTGCTAAATTTGGGCTACCGATGCCACATGTTGAAAATTCCATAGTTGTACTAAAACTATGGTGTGGAATCAAGCTATAATAAAATTTTTTTAGAAAATAATAAAAATCTTGTGTACTGATTTCTGTACAAGTTGATACAGTAGGCTGTAGAGAATCCTTGACGCATTGAATGACGGCCTGTAAATCTACCCAATTCTTCATAACGAAATGGCAGCAGTGGAATTCAGAAATAATATATAAAAGCTGAAATTTTTCAAAAATGATTGTCCCTCACATTTGTGTATTTATTTGATATAAAGGAGAAGTATTTGAAAAATGTACTTTTGCAATTCATTGCAATAATGTTATGCAATTGATGCAAATGTCTACTTTTTGAGTACTTTCCAGTCATGATAAGGGGATTGTTTCCATCTGACTGATTTCATACTTAACGCTTCTTACCTTGTTGTCTATTTTTCTTTATTCTTTTGCCTTCTGAATGGAATATTGGACTTCAACCCTGAGCTTTGCAGTTTCATTAGCGATGGTGTTCTTTTTTGTTTTTCGGTGGGTTTCCTAGCCTCACACCCAACCTTCTGTCTTTACAAAACTTACTACCGTCTGAGCAAAGTTAGGTTTAGAAGCTTACCGGTAAGGAATCGAACTAGGATTATGTGCGTGGTTGGCAAGCATGCTACCATTGAACCTCCATGTCTGTTATTACCGCTTAAATCTTATTGTTCACCTGAACATTTCGTATTAACGAATTTCACGATAAATTCGTCGTATTGAACGAATACTTTCTAATTAACTGGTTGCTAGTATCGTTAGATGATTGAAGGTAATCAGGAGGAAGCCTTGGACCACCTACGTTTCGTGCTTGTTAGCACTCGTCAGTGAAGCGTATCTGCAATCTTGAAAGAACCTATGTCCCTTCTGAGATTCTAACCCGAGTCAACCAGTGCTACAGTCAGAGATGTTACCTCTGAACTATTCAAAATCGTGATTTCCCTGTAATGGATTCTTCTGAACGGGTGCTAAAAAGCAACTAACGACTTTTACAATACAGTCTGCACCAAACGAAGGACTAGACGCATGACTTTAGTTACTTCTTAATGTCTAATCGAAAAAGTGATTTTTGGTATCTTTAGATGAGTGATATACACCATATAATTATTTAGTTGATCCTTTTAAGTCAGATATCATCACCAACCGATATTAATTGGAAAACTATTGAAGGTCAGCTACTTCGTCCCAGTTTGGGACTCTTCATCAGGGATAGAATCGAGGACCTTCAAGTCACGGAAGGTGCATATCACAATTCAACTAGTGATACAGAATCCAGTGAGGCATGAATTGTATTTTCTGTCAATCCTTCAATATATCAATACTGCTATCCATCCTACCATTGTCTTCACTAGTATTTGTATTGATTATTTCTTTTACCTGATATTTGACCTTATAAAAGTGTAACTTAATTTCCAGTGATCGATAAATTCGATCTTTATCAACGTATCCGTTAATTGAAAATTGTTCTGGGTGCCAAGCTACCAGGAATTTTTCTGACATTCTTAGTATTTTCTCTCTTGCTTGAAGCTTTGTACGTTTTTTGCAGTGGAGTTGGCATCCATAGTTGTCCATATGCGTTAATGGCATGCAACAATGCATTTTATATTACTTGAATATCAATTTTCGTAGATTCGAGGATGAAAGGGACATCCGCTTCGGCCAATATTGCATTTTTCGCAGTTTATGCAAATTATCTTATAGATGATATTGATTTTGTCTTCATTGGCTGTGTGTTGGGTCTTTCGGTTTGCATTGTTGGAGCTGGAGTACGTGATGTCTGTTTCAACAGGTTCTGTTAGTGATTTCAGAAATGTTCTTCATTTACTTTAGGACGATTTCCATTGTAGTTCCAGTGGATAATTTCACACTAGTCGCTTGATTTAAGTCGTGTACACTTTTCTTTTTTCTCTCTCTTCTACTCTTCTCAAGGTCGAAGTTCTTTTAACTGCGTCTTGGTCGTTTCGAATAATGTTTGTTCTTTTGTGTTACTGTTTATTGGTTTCTGTTATAACTGAGTGGAACTTTGTTTTCCGAATCCACTTTTCTTTTGAGTGCTTACTATGAAGAATGTATTGTCCCTGTAATGTATTCAAATTTTTGTGGTTACATTATTTGTAGAGCTATGATATCTAGCCTTTGCATAACAAATTCTGTTAACATGCAGTGATTCTGCGTAAGTGGTTCGGCTAACTTGACTAGAATGCACCTCCAGAAATAATCTCACACGCTGTGATAGACACAAAAGTCAGACTGGGAAAAGACGAAAATTGGAACGACAACTTTTATTCGACAAAATAAATAAATAAAACAAATCTGATTCGTTGTATGACATTGAAATCCCTCAGAAAATTAAACCATTTAGAAACGAATCAAAATTGTTCAATCACATCACTATGTTAGTATATGCATTAATCACAAATTCACGGATAATTAGGAAGCTTGTCCATCTTAGCACCTCCCTTTTTTATTAGTTTCCGAGTGAGAGACCATTGGGAGATATTTTATTCATATCCGACTATCGACCAAAGGGCGTGTGTATTGCTCAACAGTCCGCTCCGTCCTCCTTTATGGCTGTGAGACCTGACTATTGAGAGCGGAAGACATGAAAAGATTAGCTGTCTTTGATCATGGGTGTCTGCGTTCTATCTCCCGCGTGAAGTGGTATAATATGGTGAGCAATATTGAGGTTAGGCGTCGAGTGTTAGGTAAGGAGGGAAAATCAGTCGACGAGGCTGTGAAGTTACATCGACTGAAATGGTTAGGACATGTGTTACGTATGCCTAGTCATCGCCTTCCTCGACGGGCAACGTTAGCTGATATAGGGTCGGGCTGGAAAAGAGTTAGTTGTGGTCAAATGAAAACATGGCATCAGTCAATGAAATCTACAACAGTTAGTCTAAGCCACGTCGGGAAGGTGCAGACTTCCTGGTTGGATCCTCGGGACGGTAAAAACCAATGGTTGGAAACAATTGGTGACATGGCTCAAAATCGTTCTCAATGGCTGGTGCAGATGCATCCACTCCTTGTGACTTATGATTTCCAATGAAACTGTTTTGTTCTTCGTTATTACTATTCCTTTGTCTCACACCTCTGTTTACTGTCTATATTATGCATTTTTCCTACTTTCTTCTCTTGCTTTGTGTTCTACATGGAGTGTGACAACTTGAACTGGTGCACATATGTGCAAAGTTCTATGTCGGAAACAGACAGGGAGATATTTCATGGGTCTGTGGTAACTTCAGCAATTAGTTCAGATTTGATTGAACCCATAGGTGTCGTTTTATATTGATTCTTATGTTGTACTCATCAACTATAAGCTCTATCCTTCGTTTACCTTCGTTTTTCTCTCTGCTTGTCATGTAATGTTTTATTCATTGCTGTTTCAATAAACGCCTTTTGCATGCTTATCATATTTTATGAATTATTTATTTAGTCTAACAGTACATATTTATTCATTCTTTTTTTTCACCAATAATTTAGTCTAAGTAAACAATCATTGTTCCATTGTGTCACATGTTTGTTAATATTGTAATGCTGAAATAAAGCAGGGTAGTAGAAGTGGTAAAAATCAAACTATTTGTTCTTAAATACTTATTATTACTATTGATTTATTACTGCGATTTTATTCCGTTGCATTCCGAGTGAAAAGTAGATGGCTTCAAGCTTGAGCTTTGAAGTTTCAGTAGCAGTGGCGTTTCTTTTCATGGTGTGAAGTTGCTAGCCTCACACCCAACCTTCCCTCCTTATCGATCTTTCTACTGGCTAAGCGAGGCTTTAGGAGTGTCTCATCTAGGAATCGAACCCCGGACCACGTGTAGCGTGGTTGGCAGAGGATTTCACTACTCACTGACAATTAGTTGCGAACTCTTGTCTTTTGGTTAATCAAATAAAAGGTAACCAACCAATCAGTGTCTTTAATCTGATGTAACAATGGATCAACAGTCTTGATCTCTGATCCAATTAGGTCAGTAGTAATGTACCTAATCGCGTTGCAGTTTCCGACGTAGCTGTAATTCTCTAAGGTTATTTAAGTTTACAGAGACATCTTTCCAAAAAAATGTTAACAAGCAGAAAACTTTAATCTGTCAGGATTTTATTTCATTTATACATAATCACTTAAGTTTAGACTCACTTTTATGTACCATCTAATTTCAGTCACCTTGACTATTCTGCCTCAAAACAAGGCAGCAGACAATCGACGAATTTAGCGAAATTGTTTACATAGAGTCAATACTATTTCTATGGATGATCTGTTGTTTTTTAAATTAGGCGACTTGTGTCACCTTCACAGCCATTGTTTGTATGAAATTGTGAAAGCAGAGTCATGTTGTGTTTGTCTATGTCATCAGCAAGTAATGAAGTCGGCATGCTGATATTTGTTTCATTCAAAAGTCATCTGTTCGCCGCATTCATATCATAGTTTGTTTGACACTTTGCTTTTATACAACAAAAAAACTTAATTGCAACAGTTTATTGCTTAAATAATGTTGACGTATTATAGAAACTCTGGCTTGGAACGAGGATAATATACAATAAAATGTTCACATTTCAAATGAATGTTTGGTATTCGATGGTTGGAGGCAGTCGGCAGGCTTCCTATCAGAAGGGACATGAGTTCCTTCAAGGTTGCAAATACGCCTTGCTGACGAGTGCCAACTAGCACGAAACCTAGGTCCAATCAGGGCTTCCTGCCGATTGCTTGCAACCATCTAATACCAACAATTCACTGTGCACCGTGATGGTAAGCCACCTAGCAAGCATGATGGTCACATCGCAAACTTAACTGATAGAATTCAGTCTGCACCAAAGATAGGACTAGACACATTACACTAGTTACTGACTAGTGTCCCCTCAAAAAGATGAATGTTTATACTATAGATAGAGATGTGGCTTCTTGGCTTAAGCATCTAGATTTTAGCCTTTGGTTTGCAGGTTTGAAACCTACTCCAACTACGTTAGCCTAGTCAACTGGGCAGTAATATCAACATTCACATAATTAATAAGTGAATCTCATAATTCAGTCTAGATTAGGTTGTAGAGTGGTAATGAATAACCTGAGTATTCAACCGCTTTCATTATACCTATCATATTATTTCAATGTAGATTTCGTCACGGAAGAACATCAACTAGAGACCATTGAAAACCGTTAGGAAGGAGGGAGTGGTACTGGCAAACTGTTTCATTCTAGTTTGGGACTCTTCAATAGTGCACACCTACGACCCCACCAGGGATCAAACTGGTTCGTTGACCATTCAGCCGCTCAGGCCTAGATTCAGTGATCTGTAAATTCTTACTTTGTTCATTCATGACACACCTTTCGATGAGCAACATCCACTTCACGTTGACATAGTGAACCCCACTGACTATGATTTCTCAGTACAGCTTCAGGATATCCATCCAGTAGCCATCAGTGAGCTGGAGATTGAGAATCATCAGTTTGTGTTGAAATTAATCCAACTCTCCACAAAATTCCATTATCTACATATCATTTCATTTTGTAGGCATTCTCATATGTATCGCTGCATTTCGTGTTCCATCGTCTGAAAACATTTGTGTTGTCAACCAGTTGACTATATGACACTGAGAATGTGTAGATAGCCTTTTTACGAAAAATGTGTGTGGGACGATAGAAGGATAGAATTTAGTTATGTCCATCTAAAAATTTTAACTCAGATCCTGTGGATGGTTTCCCTAAAGTTCTCAAGTTTAATTCGTTTTTGTGTTCTAACCTCTTATCCTCAAAAATGTGATAAGCTTTGTCGTATAGTTCTCAAATCTAATCTAATGATATTATTTATATCTAGCCTCATTTTGCAAAGCCTTAGAAGATTATTCAGTCTTTTGAAAATACATTCCTGTCTAGGTACCGTCTGTAAAGCTATAATTCATATGCTCACGTGTAAATCAATATTTCTGTTTTTTTTCATACATGTATTTAGTTAGTTTTGCAAGTTCACCTCGTGGTAACACTGTCATCACTCACCATCCATCCAGTCCTTTTGCACGTGTTCCACGTGGTCCAATTCTAAAAAATGAAGGTAACTTGAAAATGCCAGTTCAGTCTTCACAACCATCAACAGGATCGAGAGTTAGTACCTATTCAACAGTTGGTGATACTGTTACAGCGACGTCAACTAGTGCTTCTGCTAATGCTGCTGCGTATTCTGACAATCTGTCTAATGAAATACCTATTCCTATAACTGATGCTTCAACAAACAGTTCATCAGTTGTTTCAAATGAATCTCTACCAGATTCTTCTAAATCTTCCTCAAAACAATCTGTTCGTGTAAATGAAAGTCAACGAACAAGTAAGTCATATTCTTAGATTGGAGATCATATATTGACGAATACAATTTTGATGTTAATCAGTTCTTACTTGTGCTTCATTATTCGAAAAATAACAGAATGGCTACAATGCAAACTTGACTGACAATGGGATTGAGTCTGCTCCAACACCAAGAACCAGACGCACAGCATTTCTTACTACTACCCCTAGTATCCAATCAAAGTATCCATTACAGTCCTACTTGAGGTCAGCTGCAAAGCTGAATAGCTCAGTGACGATGTCTCTGAAATTTACTCTAATGTGTGTACAACTTTTTATTCTACAATGCGTTACTCACTTTATCTTAGATCAACCAACAAATAAGTTCAAGAATGGAAAATAAATAAGCGTTTATCTTTTATTACCGCCATTCTTACTCCATTTATTTATTAATTCACCTATTATTCACCCAACGGAGTATTATTATTAATATTATTCCTATTGGGGCATAGGATTTCAGCAAAACACCTCTATTTCACCTTGTTCTCAGCAGTCCTTTTTAGTTGGCTTTACGATTTCTTACAAGCTTTCTTCTATTCCTTACAAAATTTCTCCCATGCCCAACTCCTCGTTTTCGATTCGGGTTCTACTTGAGGGCCTGACGTTTCATGTCAATCGACGGTTTAATCCATCCTCATTTCCTCTTGCATATTCGTTAGACAATATGTTCCTCGTTTATTTGTTACTTGTAAGAGTTCCTTGTGGCTTATCTTTCCTGGTCAGCCCTTTGAGCTTCAGTATTGAGTCAACAAGGTAGTTATTGTTGGAATTTGGAAACCTGTTGGAAATGCTTTTCATGATGCTGCGCCATGTCTCTGAACCCTAAAGAAGCGCTAACTTACTTGACTTTAGTGTTCAAAATTCGTATCTTTCTTCACATGCTGCGATACTTTAGATTTCTTCGCTGATTTCGGAGTAATGAACGACTGTCTTACTTTTCCGACCTTGCCTTTGAAACCCTCATGTGGTGCCTGTAGTTGAAACAATGGTACCTAGGCAAGTGAAAGAGGTGGCCTTCCCCAAATTTCTCCTGTTGATGGTGATTGATGCTTGTTGTTTCTGTTGTTGTTGGTTGAATATCTTCACCACCTCTGCTTCTTCTATCAACTAGCTGGTAAATCTTCGAGTTTGTGTGACACTAGGCGTAAGTCGTCGTCGAAGTCCAAATCTTCTAAAGTCTTAGTGTCTTTTCAACGTATACTCGCATAATCCAGTCGACCACAATCAGGAATATCATCGGTGATAGTAGGCAGTCTTGTCTTGATCTTGTCTCTTCACCTAACTGAATAGATAAAGTATAACCCTATAGAAAATGTTGTACAAGTGTATTTATACTCGTGAAAAGAAAACTGTTGAGTATAGGAGACGTCTGAAGTGAAGTTGAAATGGTCAGTATTCATCCAATATAATATATAATTTATTCCATTTTTGTTTTAAATTTTCTGTTATTATTTTTGTTTTTGAGAAGACTGAAACGTATTAAGTTGATATATAGGATGATTTATTGCTCTTACTCTCCCGTCATCATTTTCGTTACCTTCTTTTCAGTATTTTCTTTTTACAGTATTTTGTTCATTGAAGTGTGAAACTTGTTTTCTTTCTAATTGATGTTGAAGCCTTAACTGTTTGTTTTTGCTTGGTCCAAATTAATTCTTTGTTTAACGGAGTTAAAACTATCATAGCCGAAGTCATGGTTCTTAACAAGTTGACCTTGAGGAGCCAATCAGATTTAGAGATCGTTACTAAAAGCCATTCCAAATCAAATCCTGCCTCTGCATTTATCGTTAAGGTTAGGGTAGGTACAGTATTCCTCTTATTCTGTAGGCACTTTTTACTTTATATCTACACTGTCAGGTAGGCCTAGTATTTTTACGGTTAAAGTGAGAATTACAGTTTGGGGTATAGGTTAGGATTGAGGTTTAAGGTTAAGGATATGTGACTAGAGTTCCTGTTAGCTCAAATAATAGTGTCAGGAATATACTATCTTTACAGGAGACGCAATTATATCACTCATGAAGAAATTTAAATCATTTCACTTTGTGCCAAATATGGCGCTGAAGATGTTGTCCAGAAGGACTACGAAAACTTCGCAACTAAACCAACCAGCTCAGAGAGCACTATTAATTGCAAGTCTAACATAATCTAAAACCATAGAGTGATGAACACCATTCAGAATATGATTATCATTAAAATTGTAAGGAATAGATTCAGAATATGTATGAAGTATATTTTTTTAAAGAGTTTGAAAAGAAAGGCGAAGTTAAAGCGATTGGATAAATGGCTTTTGTGTATATAATAAAAAGAGCTTCCTCTGTGAACAAAGCATGTAGACGGGAACCTTCTGAACAACTTTGTCTCTCACCCTATGATACATTGTAACAACAGAAGACAAGAACCAGGCAACAGATCGTTTGTTTAGGAAATCAACACATTTATAGATTTTGATGTACATTTTTATAGATTATTGTAAGCAAACAAACACAGTCTTCTGATTGGTTGTTTCTCACTTAAAGTTAATCTTTCATCTCTTTGTGACTGTTTCTTGAATGTCAGATCATCTATATGTTAACTGTATCCGCCTACGCAAAGTCTGCTGTGGTCGGTTTTTGAATCAGTCTTGTTCATATTTTCTCACGACAAATCTTGAGAACATAAACAATGACGTAAATTACTGTCTACCAATTTGGCTAGTAGAAAGCTCTCACCACAATATCACTTTGCAAGATTTTGTAATTTATGCAAAATGATGCATAAAAAAGCCTGGTTTTCAAGAGCACTAACTCGTTGAATCACCTAACGTAGAAGACACTCTTATACTTGTCTATTCTTGAAGGGGAATTGCATTTCATATGTGGATTACAAAACTTGTGTTTCACATGTTTTACTATGTTTCCTTATGAAAATTGTAACCAATCCAAGGAGGAGATTGTGCTTCTCTCTCTCTCTCTTAAATTTCAGTTGTTGTTGTCGTCTGATGCAGACTTTTCTTTCATAAACATAAAACAGAAATAGAATTTTCCTTAGGTCATATGAATAAATGAAATTTTGCAGATTGGGTGTTTTTTATGACAGAAAATGATTCAGAAAACTAAGACTCACACTTGACCTCTCTCGAGTAGTTTGTATCCTTTTCGGAGAATTGAGAAACAATCTTGTTATTATTTAACCTTATTCACTGTTTCTTTTGTGTATATATGAGTGCACAGATTTAAATTTCTTTTTCATATGACACATTTATGTCAAACAAAAAGAATCTCCCCTTTGGGGATAAACTGATAAGTTCAATTTAATCCAAATAGGGAAAAGTATCTATTGAAAACACAGTAAAAAAATGTCTTCAAGATATTAAATTTCCCTCCACTTGAACAGAATTGCAATCGAATCAAGTATAAATTATCTAAGTCAGTATAATTGTGACTAAGAAACAGGTGCGTAAAAAGCGAAGTATTATTATGTTTGATGGATTACTCCATTGAACTTACTTTTAATTAATTTGTTTAAATGGCTTAGTAGATAACGCTTTGATGTTTGAAATGATAGGCACTGGCATTGAGTCTCAGGAATTCCAGGTGCATCCACCAGTTGACGACGAGTCTACAGTAGGATGAAATGCACATCTATTGAATTCCACTGCTATTTGCCATCTACCAAATAATATCGTTTGTCAAGGGTTAGTTAGTTCGTAGAGATTTGATATATTTCAAGTTTTCGACCACGGGTTAATATCACAGTTAGAGAACCATTGAATTGATAGAAGTTACATTTCATAGGTCATTGAAATCCGGCCCGAGTAGCTGAATTTGGTGACTTCACCTGAAAGTCCCGGTTTCGACCCCTATTCTGGGGTCATAGTTGCGTAATGCCATGGAGTAACAAACTAGAACCAGTACTACCCGGTTATCAATGGTTCTCTTGAAATATTCCTTCTATTCAGCATATTGTGAGTTTTTGTTTTCAAATGAAAATTAAACTTTATCTTCAACCTTTTTGTTTTTTAAAAAAAATTTCTTAACAGATTCAGTTTATTATGAATCTAGCCAGCCGGCATATATTGATGATAAGATAAAATCTGTTGGTGCTCTAACTCCTATGCATAACAACACCGCCACCACCACCACCAGTAATAATAATAATAATCCAATGGGATCAGGACGTGGTCGCCCCAATGTATCCAGTTCTTATCCAACATATGAAGAAGCTTGGGACGTGAAATTAGCTCGTCAACTTGGCGTTGGTGTATCCCGTCTACCATCGATTCTTCCAATCTCACCAACCACTGCTACTGCCGCTGCTGCTGCTCCTCCCCCTACCACTACCACTGCTGCGCCGAATCACATTCCATCCTTGCCTTCTATCCTCACCGGTGGTGGTGGTGGTGGTGCTACACCACCTCAGAATTCATCATCAGTATGCAATAAAGGCAAAGCGACTGATGATGTACAAACAGTAGAGACTGACTTCAAATTATTAAATATTACCACCACCAGCAATTCATCAGATGACAAGTCAGCAAAGTTGACGAATTTTTCAGAAATGTTAATTACTGATGATAATAATAAAAATGTTTATGATGATGGTGATTGTAATTATAAAAATAAACAGAACGGAAAATCAGTTAATGGTATAAATCAATTATTTTATCATAATGAAACAAACAATGATCCTTCACAACGTAATTCAATTTCTAGTCATATGGTATGTGTAATTCATGTGTGTTTATTTGATTTCTTTACATTGTCTGTGTGTGTATGTGTGTGCGTGCGTGTGAGTGAGTGAGTGAGTGAATGAGTATATGTATTCATGGTATGTTTATCATCCATCACTATTATTGTTGATAATAACATGTTTTTCAAGTATTGGTTTTTCGTAGGGATTTTGTTTAGTTGGTTGGAAGATTTCATCATGAGCTGACATCAGTTAGAGAATCACTGGAAAACCTGGGAGTACTGGACAGCTGTTTCATCCTAGTTTGGGACTCTTGATCAGTACGCGCCCACCGGGATTTGAACTCAGGGCCTTCTGGTTACAAGGCGAGCTTGTAGACCATTGAGCCACTGGGACCCGATCCAATGGTCCTTGAATTCTAACCTCTGCCAATTCACGACATAGCGCGACCATTTCTCAGTGTCTTCTTCTATTAGTTATTGCCTCATCTTCAACCTGCTGTACACTACTGGTCACGGCTTCCCACTAGAACACCAGGTTAACTGCCTGAGTGGGGCTAATGGCTAGTGAGCATCAGGTTAGTTTTCAAGTATTGATGAAGAGTCCCAAACTGAGACGAAACAGCCGTCCAGTACTCCCTATTTTTTGGTGCTTCCTTAACTGAGGTCTGTTCGTGGTCAATTTTGAGACCAAGTTTCAAGTCTCTACCAACCAAAACTTGAAAATTTCCCTAATTATATCCTAATTTGGTTGTTTATTTTCGATTATTATCATCACCATTGCTGTCTGTTTGTCTGCCTGCCTGTTTCATTTCAGTCGATTCTTTTCGTTTATGTCTTATAATTAAATTGCATGAATTGTATTCACTGATATAGGTTGTTTAGGCTTTGGACAATCAGAAATAATTTTTAGTTCAATAGATTTTTGCTGAAATATAGCTTGAAGTTTTTGTTTTAGCTCGATGTATTTAAGTGTGTGTGTGCGTTCGCGTTTGCACGTATTCAATTGCTTAAAATTTTTATTCGTGTTATTATTAACCCAATTGGCAAATCATTACTGTTATTGGTACGTACGACTGCTAGTATAACGCATGTATTATTATTATTTGAGTAGTATGCCTCCAAGTGTATATAATAGTGTGTGGGTTGAATGAGGTCATCAGCAGTTCTATCCCCTTCTTGTCGTCTCTCAAATATACACCGTTATCTACTTGATTTTGTAAAGCTGCTTTATTAATTATGAAGAATTTCAGCAGTAATGTGCATCTCTGCTCCTCTCTGTTTCGAATGTTTACTTAGGGTTCAAAAATACACTTCCACTAACTCTTATTCCATACAACAGGGGGACAGTAGCAGTATGACATGTGCCACAGATAAGATTTATCTGACTGCTCAGGAAGGCTTCATGTGCTTTTGAAAGTGCGTGAGCGGTTGTTACTTCCCGGCTGCCCACACCGTGGAAGTTGGTTGATTCTTCGGGTACCTGAAACAGAGAGAGTGTTAGTGTTGCGTGACCGCAGAGTCCAGGGACAACTGCTTGAGGCCGGTCACACACTGCCTATATGGACTGGTTTCTTGGATTGGTTCCGTATTAGTAAACTTACCAACGGTTACGGACCACCGTAGGGTAAGTCGGGATGTAGAATTTTTGGGATCGGTCGTCCACAGACCGCCAGTATAGTGTAAAAAATAGTTTTTACACAAGGCCGGTAACTGCTTTCAGTCTAATCGCTATCCTAACAACCTTCCTGTCATGTTAGGACCTGCAGGTACAATAGTTATAGCCAGTGTAGTTTGTTGGATCATTACGATATGCAAGCCCAACCACCACGTCAAGGTAGCAGCCATCGGATGGGAAGATTTATCAGTAGTATATAAAGAGACGTTCATCAGTAGAAAAACATCAAATAACAGGGAGGTAGATTCGATGTCGGAGAAAGTAAACGATACAGCGCTGTAGAGATACATGGGAGACATAAAAGGAACACGAAGAAACACAGTATGAAGGAAGGCGAGAAGTAGCACGACACGGAGGATCTGTGCAAATGGCGATTTGAAGATAAGGTGTACATAATTTGGCTATATAGGGATACCAAATTCCAAATAAAGATTTCTTTTACCAAGTCTTTCATCTTCTACCGTTACACTGGCAACTATCATTAGTAGTCAGATCAGAATTTGCGATATCACTTGGTTAATATAATCCGGTAGAATTTATTATGACAAAGATATACCAGGTTTGGTCAGTTTTTGCCTACTTGTGCTATTTGTAAATAACGGTGGGATATATGTTGATGCCTTCTTAAGAGTCGCCTGTACCTTGCTTTTGTGCTTTCTATCCTTCTAAAAGTATTTGAAATATAATTATTTAAGAATAGGCGATGTACGGAAGCTATCAGTGTTCTAGTAATGTGGTATATGTTAATGCCAAAGTCGTCATTTTAAGAGGGTGTTATTATAATTGTTATTAAAAACACAAACTTGTTACATGATTGGCACCAAAAGGTGCGCCACACAAAAAATAGTAGTTTGTGTGAGAGTTGGGACAATACTGTCTGGACGCCCAGACCTAAGTAGGTGGTTGTCTTAAGGGGACCACCTCTCTCGCGAGCCTTTGACTTAAAGCCTGATCTGATCCACGATGCGTTGGAGTGGCATCAGATGCTACGTCACCCATGGTAATTGGTGACTAAAAAACAGGTTCATATGCCCCATTCGATCCAGTTGGATTATGGAGCCCGTGTACACCACCATAGGTTTGAAATCAGGGTTTTCCAGCTCCCCTACTAGGGTAGACCTGCATCGAACGTTCGAAATGGCTCTTTCATTTTTGTGAGGAACAGCCTCACCGCATGAAGGCAGTAAGTGTAGGATTTACCTGGCAGAGAGCGTTTTGGAGGAAGACCGAAGTCTACCCACACCCTCATCCGTACCAGCTCGTTTATTGGGAGTGTATTACTGCCATGAGTTTGTATTTGCTATTATAAACACATGTCAATCCAGCATTTGTCGTAGCACGTTTTATTAGCTGACTTATAATTTCCTTAAAAAAACAGTTAACTTTGAATAAATCATAGCATGAGAACACTGTGTTGGTGCAATTAGTTTCCCAGGTGTCAATCAAAGTCAATATTTTGAAAAGCTACATGTAATTCTGTTTAGAACTGTGATAATATTATGTGAATATTTTCATAATATCAGCAGATAAACTGCACTGTTGTTATTTATCTTCATTGTATTTATCATTTTCAGTTGTGTCTCTGCTACAATACACCCTGGGCCTACTAATATCATTGTTGTGACAAATGTGGTAATTATATAAGCACAGAATTCCACACTTCCAGTTTCACTATTCTCTATGTTTACAGCATAGCGAAACCTAATGTGTATGTGTGTGTGTGTGTGCGTGTCTTAAATCTTCTGACTATACTTGACAGAAATCGCAAGCAGTAGTGAATTACCGAATTTTTTTTACATGACAGCTGATGACTGTGTTAACAACAAATAGTAGTAACAAACATTGAATTTGTTTGTTAATAAACTGTGAAGTGCGAATATGAATATGTATGTGTAGGCGAGTAACAATTTGTAAACCCACTGTGAATTATTTTCTTTCGGGTTACCATATTATAGAGAGAGAACTGTCGTATTAAAAGGTGCACATCTCTGTGAAATTAATTATTCAGGGGTTTGAAGACGATCAGAAATTATGAAGTGTGGTGTTTTTGCTTAAATGGAAGCAAATGTAAATATCTAGATATAAGCATTGTTTCTATCCGACGTAATTACGAATTGACAGATGTTGATACCAAAGAATATGCATGTTTAGTACAGTGGCTGGCGGTCGTGCTAAAAGTCGCCAATTGAAAGAAGTTAGAATTGACAGGTGATTGGATTTGCGTCCCCAGTAGCTGAATGATCAATGGTCTTGCCCTCGTAACTTGAACATCATGGGTTCAATACCCATGGGATGGTCCAAAACTAGGGGGGAGAAATACAGGAATGCCCATGAGCTGACAGATGTTTCGTCCCAGTTTGAGACTCTTCATCAGTACGCGCCAACCAGGGTTCGGACGCAGGACCTTAGGGTCACAAGGCGAGCGAGCTCGTAGACCATTCATCCACTGGGCCCCGACCTTATGATCCATGAATTCCAACTTCTCCCAATCCGTGATATATATATATGCATATATATATATATATATATATACAGCGCAATCTCCAACCAATGTCACAGGCGGGGTGACTGTCCTCTTGCCTGGCTTGGTGGACCCCTCTGACTACAACTTCTCACTAGAATACCAGATAACGTCTTGTTTAGGGTCAGTCGCTATTGAGCATCAGATTGTGACGAAATAGCTGTCCAGTACTACCTTGTGGTTTTCAATGATTCTCTAACTGATGTCAATGCGCGGTCAAACTGAAATAAATAAAATCTCTACGAATTTGATCTTGAAAACTATCTACTAAAGATAAAAAGCTACACACTAGTTGAAATGAGCAATGCTTAGTTCTATGAAGGACTTTATTAATCTTGTGTTGTTGTTTTTTTTTAACTTCAGATAAATGGAAAGACTGAATTAGCAGAGAACAGTACCGGGGAGTATGATTACGCTTACAATGGTTCATGGAATATGGGTGTTAAAGTAAGTCTTTCAATGGGAACTTATTTCACGTAGATGTGTAATTTGTGTAGGTGTGTGAGAAAGAGTGTGTGATTTAATACTATACACTAGACAATATTAAATCCTTTCTTCAGTTAGTTATTATTCCATTAGCGTTTTTCGGTTAGCAGTTGATTCACTAACTCTTTGCTTATGGTGTATCTCACTCAACATCCTTGATCGGTTCTAAATACTTGTACTGTTTTTTTGTGCTGAGTAAACAGGAAGGGGGGATGGTAATATACTTGTCGAAATTTTCTTCATAGTATGCTTATTGTCGTAAAATAAATATTCAAAACTCTGGTGAGACTGATAAGGGAAATAGGTCTACGTGTTTCGATCCAAGTTTTTCGAGTGATAAATATTGCTTTGGGTCCCGAGTGGAACAAAGACCTTCAACAACACACCTCCACTTTGTTCTGTTTGGTGCTGCTCTCTTCAGCTGGGACAACGATTGCTCATTATCTTTCTTCTCCTCCATGTCACCATCGCACTGACGACCCACTCTTCTCTTCTCATTGGTGGTATTCCACTCGAACGGTGTCATTCGACGTCCTCCTCAATGTATGCCCGATCCATCTCCATTTTCTCCTACATATTTGTTGGGCAATCTGCTTTTGGTTGGCCTGTGTACAGTTAGCCAGAGTTTCTTGTTGCTAGTCTTTCTTATCGGTTGGCCATTTGATCTTCAGCACAGAGCCAACCAGTGAAGGTGATAGCTGTTGATTAAATTTCGTGTGATTGTGGAGCACCAATTTCCCCCGGTGAGATTCTCCCTTTGAAATCCTCAGAATACTAGTTGCCATCTACTTTACACTTTGAATGCTATCCAATAAAACGAACAAAGGTAGAAGGTGGATGACGTATGCTTCTACTTACTGAGATGAGTAGTAATCCGAAAATTCTGGACATATATCATCTATATATAGTAACTGTGTCGGTCGATTTCTTCAATAAAATCAAGGTTAGGGTTGCTTTCACTTGTCTTTGATATTTCCTGTTATCCACTACTAACTAGACTAATGTGTGTGTGTTAGCATTATGATTAATTGAAGTTTGTTTTCATCTATCTGTATTTATCCTCTGCTTTAATACACGCATTCATCGGCTATGTTCTTTTCCACTTTTTTTTATTGTATCCCTATTTGATGATTATTAATTATTCAAGCGTTTTGATATAATTTATCATTGTTTTCAAGTTGGATCACAGACTGAGAAACATTAAAAACCCAGGAAGTACTGTGCGTCGTTAGCACAGTGGTTAGAACTCTCGCCGACTAGGCACATGGTCCGGGGTTCGATCCCCTGCCGACACACACCCGATATCTATGGTCGGCCTGCAAAATTGGGCTACCGATATCACATGCTGAAAATTCCATACCTGTACCAAAAATACTGTGTGGTTTCAAGCTATAATAAAATACATGTTTCGTCCTAGTTTGGGACTCTTCAGTATTACGCACCAACGACCCCACTGAGGATCTAACTTCAGGTTATGACACAAGCTTGTTAACTATTCAGTGGTTACACTCTATAGTGGTAGACATTAGAATTTATGTTCCATTGGATTCTGTTCCAGTGACTGTCTGTCTGTCTGTTTTCGACATAGAACTTTTTACATATGTGCGGCAGTTCAAGTCGCCATACTCCATGTACCACACAAAGGAAGAGAAGAAAGTAGAAGAAATGCATAATAGAGACAGTAAACAGAGGTGTGAGACAAAGGAATAGCAATAACGAAGAACAAAACAGTTTAATTGGAAATCATAAGTCACAAGGAGTGGATGCATCTACGCCATCACTGAGAGCGATTTTGAGCCATGTCACCAATTGTTTCCTACCATTGGTTTTTACCGTCCCGAGGACCCCAACCAGGAAGTCTGCACCTTCCTACGTGACTGGCTTAAACTAACTGTTGTAGATTTCATTGACTGGTGAGTCCATGTTTTCGTTTGACCGCCGCTACCTCTTTTCCAGCCTGGCCCTATATTAGCTAACATTGCCCGTCAAGGAAGGCAATGACTAGGCATACGTAGTACATGTCCTATTTATCTCAGTCGATGTAATTTCACAGTCTCGTCGACTGATTTCTCCTCCTTACCTAGCACTCGACTGAGGCCTAACCTCAATATTGCTCACCTTATTATACCACTTCACGCGGGAGATAGAACGCAGAAACCTATGATCGAAGACAGATAATCTTTCCATGTCTTCTGCTTTCAATGGCCAGGTCTCACAGCCATAAAGGAGGTCGAAGCGGATTGATGAGCAATACACACACCCTTCGGTCGATAGTTACTGGATAACCGATAGCCTCACCTGGTAGTCTGAAGGTCGAAAGTTCGTCCCCTGGTGGGCAGGCCCATGGGGTTACGTACTGTTAAAGAGTCCAAAACAAGGACTAAGCAGTTGTCCAGTACTCCCTGGTTCTCAGCGATTCTCTAGTTGAAGTCAGTTCAGTGATGTTCTAGCTAGACATCGATCAAATTCCTGAAAAACACCATTTAAAAACTTTGTATATCTGTGTTTCTGATGTTCAGTCATAGCAATCAAGCAGCAACTTCAACTGGAATTTTTCAAATGTTGTTGAACTGTATGTACCTTTCCAAGTTGGATATTCATGAGACATATAATTTTTTTATTGCCATAGTTTCTATTTACAGTTTGATTGATTAAATAATTAGCCTGTGTGTCTGTATATTGTACACACTCGTGTCTGTGTTTGTGTGTGTTTGTATGTGTGAATATGCGAATAAGTTTATACTAAACAATATAATCTATGTGAATCGATTGTGGTTATTACGTTGATTTTTTTTAGAACAAATTTTATCCTGAAATAAAATGGACATTTAAAAAAATGTGATTTTTTCCAAATTTTTTGTTCGAGAATCTAAACAGCTAATATGCGTAAAGCTAGTATACTACTGATGGATTTGGATAAGTAGTAGTTGTATACCACTCACATCAACCATCACTTAGTTTGGAAGTTGCATCAGCCAACCCCAACGGGTTGACCGCTGATAAGATCTCAGCGGGGATACAGAGGGCTCATTTAGCATATGCCAACTAACGCTGTCTCTGGCTTAGCAGACGTGATATCCGGCCGGCTGTCGATCAAAGGACGTGTGAACTGCTCAGCAGTTCGCTTCGTCCTCCTTTATGGCTGTGAGACATGGTTATTGGAAGTGGAACATATGAAAACGCTAGCTTTCTTCTTTCATAGCTGTCTACGTTCTATCTCCTGTGTTAAGTGGTATAATAAGGTGAGCAATATTGAGGTTAGGCATCGGTCGAGTGCTAGGTAGGTGGGAGGAGAAATCAATAGACGAGGTTGTTAAGTTACATCGATTGAGATGGTTAGTACATGAGTTATGCATTCCTAGCCATCGCCTTCCTTGACGGGCGATTTAAGCTGACATAGGATGGATCAGGTTGAAAAAGAGTTGTCTAGTGGTGGGTTGTCAAACGAAAACATGGCTTCATCAGTCAATGAAATTGACAACAGTTTGTTTAAGCCATCCATTCACGTAGGGAGCTGTAGACTTCCAGACTGATGGAGTCCTCGAGGTGGTTAAAGCCAGTGAGGGCTGGAGACAATTGGTGATATGGCTCAAAATCGTTCTCGATGACTGCACAGTTGCATTCACTCTTTGTGATTTGTGATATCCAATGAAACTCTATTGGTCGTCCATATTACTAATCGTTTTTCCTCACACTTCTGTGAATTATCAGTCTTTTGAACCACCCTTCACTCTCTTCTCTTGCTTTGTGTGCTACGTGGAGAGAGTGTGGCAACTCGAACTATTGCACATATGTGCAGAGCTCAACGTTGAAACCAGTCAGTCGGTCAGTCAACCACTGGTACTCGCTAGCCAGTTAAACCATCGGAGTGATCTAAACACCAGATGGCCGTTTTGCTGGTTTTAGGTCGAGCTTATCCATCAGTGCGCCCAATTCAACTCAGCTCAGAGAATCGAATCAGTTTAAACCACTCGATTTCTGGTTAGCTACTTGGTCTACTGGGTTTGAACCCCTGTGGATGTGTACTGTTGAAGAGTCCCAAACCGGGGTGAAACAGCTGACTAATACTTCCTGTTTATGTAGGTTGGTGGTTCAGCGGTAGGAGTGCTCTCCAGCCACGCATGTGGTCCTGATAGAAGGTCTGGTATAGAGAGGAAAGATTTTGTGTGTGAGACTAGAAACCCCACCCTGTAAAAAGGAAACGCCACTGCTAGCTACTGAAACTTCAAAGCGCAAGCTTGAAACCCTTTATTCCACTCGGAACGCAAAGCAATAAAATAAGTAATAAACTTGAGCAAACTTGTGATGTGAGTGGTATACAATTACTCATCTCAATCTATCAGTAGTATATAGTTTTTTACATTTGCACTTGGTTCTTTGATTATTATTATTATTCATAGTTTCAAGAAGATCACACATTGTGATCTGAATAATCTTGGTTTCCGTAGGAAACTGTGTTGGGATTTCACCTCCTCGAGCTGTAGAAATTGCTAATGAATTCGCAAAATTGTAAATTTTATTTATAAACAGCTGAAAGGTTTTTTTGTTGAGGTATTTACTCAAAAAAAATTTGAGCCTGTTTACTTATAGTGATAATTTTATCTGTCTCCTGTTTGAAAATCAGATAGCGTCTGAGATATATATAATAACAAATAGTAAATAAATAAGATACACAATATGAAATTCACAGCATTTGCTACAATATTGCATCTAATTCACTCTGAAAAATGTATATATCACATGGTATAGGTGACCTAAACTGATAATAACAATCTTTTGGCATTAAGAGTAACAGTTAAGTCAGAAATATAGAAAAAGCGTAAAATGATAATGATAATTGTAACAATGTTAATAACTAAAATCATAAAATAATTGGAATATTGTTACCATAAATTACAAATGAAAGACAAAACAGATAATTATTTTACTAATTAAGTAGGTTACATAGCAGGTTATAAGTT